CAAAAAGTACCCACTGCTGACGAGTCCCAAAGAGGACAAAACAGCTGTCCCCGGTGCTCTTTGTCGGTTATCACAAACATTTCTATTGCATTAAAATAACTGGAAATTATTTCTAAAAATGACTCATAGGTATGATGCAAGTATAGAACTTTCATTTCGTTCTTTATTTTTCAGCACCGGGGACGATCGTTTCTTGTATGAAGTTCACCAAGGCGATCGCCAAACAGCTTTTGCCAGTTTTTCTCCCAGTGCATATCTGTGATAATCAAAATGGCAATGAATATCGGAATACGGCAACCCGAGCTGTACTGCTGAGAACTGAATTGGCTCCAACCCGAACTGCAGACACCAATGAAGCACGTGGAGAATTGGTAGCAACAAGTGAAAATGTTTATTCATAGAAATAGAGCATGTTTTATAGAAAGTAAAAAGCCATATCATTGGTTGACGGACCATTGTCCAATCACGTAACCGTTTACGCAGACGCATCACATGTACTAACTCTATCCGGTATCATCAATATTACCCGCGGTAATCCACAAGGGACTGTACTTGGTCCCTATCTGTTCCTCGCATTCATAAATGATCTATCGAAAACGTTAGGTCCAAAAACACTAATGTTTACAGATGACTCCAAAATATGAAACACAGTAACAGAACCCGCGGGCTCTCTAACACTTCAAGAAACACCTAACGCAGCTTATCAATGGTTTAAGCAGAATGACTTTGAATTCAATATTTCTGAATGCAACGTCCCATTCCCACACCACAAGAGATTCTAATATTTCCTCTGGAATCAGCAGCCACCACACACCTCAAGTGAAAAAGTTTTAGGTGTTGCTGTTCAAGAGGATTTGAGATACTCGATCAATTGAGCTAAGGCTTCGTCCGCTGCTGTGAAGAATGTAGACTTGCTTAGGAGAGTCTTTGTTCGGTCTAACTCAGTACTGGTCCAACGATTGCTGTCAGTGTACATTCAACCGTACCCAGGGTACGCCATCCATGGTTGCAAAGTGATCTTAAGTTGATAGAGAGTCCACAAAGGATTGCCTCTGAGATGATCAAGCGATTACAGTACCTCACCTATGAGGAGAGATTACGATCATTCTGTTCAGTACCGCCAAATTTGGGGAGACTTGATTTTGACGTATCAAATAGGGCAGAACCCAAACCACCAATGTCATCCGCTGCTCACGTTGTCGAACAATGTACACCTTAGGGGATACTGTTTAAATTTACTGATTAAAAACTGTCAACTGGAATACCGGCGTCCATCTTTTGAATTCAGAGTGTGCAATAGTTGAAACACCATTCCATCTCACGTCGTTTGTACACTAACCATGGAATCTTTCAAGTGGAGACTCGATAAAACCCAAAAAAACACCTCACATTCCTACACAAAGAAAAATAAACGCAAATTCAGTGAACAGTACATTATTTGTTGTGTTCTACCTGGAGATCTATGTTGCAATTTATTTTTTTTCGAGAAACGATTCAACTGTGTGAATATCCTATGGGGATAGGAGAAGTATGAGCTTATAAATTATTCCCATAATAAAACTGACTTTGATTTTAGCCGCTATCAACAACATTGTTTCTTGAGCGTATCTCCGAGTGAGTGGCTTGCAAATCATTCATTTCGGTCCCAGTGAAACACACGATCGAAATAACACACTTCGCGCACATCTATCATGCGTTAGAAACCGTGGATCAACAGGTAAGGCTAGACAAGGGTGTATGACATATTCTTACGTTCTGAGGCCCTGAGCAATCATTGTGAATCGTGGAGAATGACGAGCGAAGCCACAAGCTCAAATTACAAGTTTGGACTCTTTTCTTATTTATCTGATCCCTCAATTGGTATTTGCTGCAATGTTACAATAATAAAATGCATATCGTGAAACAAAATCCTTCAAAACTTCAGATTGTCCAGGACAAAAGTTGCGTTTTATATTTGAAATACAATGCCCATTTGTAACTAGTCTGGAATCGGATCCCGTAATAAGTAAGCAACCAAGCAACTAGTAGAAACAGATCCGGACCACTTGTGCCTGCAACACACGCCGGTATGCAGTGTACCGGTACAAGCGAAAGTTAGGGCACCAAAGCGAGACAGCTGACTTTGGAAGGAAATTGCCTGTGTGCGTTGCCGCATAGAAAATCAGTCCAATCATCGTGCTTTCGCACCTGGATGTCAATGCGAACACGTTGATGGATTTTGTGGGGAGAGAGAGCAAGAAAGTGGCGTCTGGCAATTGTCGGAAGTCCTCTGAATCACCCATTTTATTTGTCACACTGTTGTGTTACGCAATCGTGGTCTGGAGCTTCTGATATGATACAGTCACTACCAATATGCAATCCAGTTCCCAGTGTGCAGTAACTATGACCGTGGATACTGTGCTAACCACTGATTCACTGATTCAGTTTGCTTCATTATACAAACCACTCCGCCCCTGATCCCTACGTATTTTTCTCTCGAAAACGCATGTCTTTTTTACGGTGAATAAATTCCTACACTCCTTTCTCTGTGTTGCTTCTGGTGGTGGTTTGAAGGTTTAGTCGATGGCACCCTATGGCCGGAGATTTGAGCACCGCCACCGCCACTCAACTTTGGCGGTAGACAGCTTTGCTGTCGTCCGATTTGAGTGCCACGACTAACCTAGGGGGCCTTACATGGTTCGCCACTCCAAGTTTCCATCAATGAACAGTAGGTCCTCGTGACTATGAAGTTTATCCCGTCTGTTGTTCATGACACTAAGATGCGTAATACAAATAATTAAAAAAAACCCAGCAAAACCGCTATGTAAACGGCAAATTTTATCCATTTGAAACAAATGCTTGCGGTTCTGGCAAACCGCACTGTTCGACGGCACGGTAATCGGTCTGAATGGACAAGTTGTTTGCCTGAAAGTACCAGAGGTGTTTAGAGCAATGCATATGTATGCCTAACAAGCGGCAAGAACCACAAAACATATATAATACAATAACGTTGTTTGCAACACCGGGTGACCATCGGATAGACAGCTCTAGCATCTAACCCACTTACAAAAGCATCGACATAGGATTGACTCTTCATTGGGCTAGCTTTGAAAGGGCTGTCTATCCAATGGTCATCCGGTGTTGCAACCAAAGTTATTGTGACGAAAATACACTTTCTGGGTACAAGTAAACGAATGAACTGACAAAAGATTACCGGATACGCATGGCTGACGAGCAGCAAGAACTGCAAAACCGGTCGTGGGCTTCTGGGGAGATTTTGTCCAGTCATTCACATACTACTTATCATATATATATAGCAATATCCAACTGAATCACTTCAAATGCCATAATTTGCTCTTTGGCACACATTTACTTTTTAGACGTGTACGAATATCAAGTTCAATGGCGCTCGAACCAACGGGGTCATTCGTCATGAAATCACAAAAGAAAACAAATGTGTAAATTCAAAATAATAATAAATAATTAAATGCGTCTGGTGGTGGTTATAAAGTGGTTAGGTCACGAACTCGTGACCTGTGAGTCTCGATTTCAAACCACTCCAGCACCACCCGTCTTCCCAAGCAGCCTTTGATTGGCTGCGATCCCCCTTCCTGAATGTTGGCTGTACATTTGTATATGCAATAAATCAAAAAGGAAGTAAAACGACATTATTACATTATTATTATTATTATTATTATTATTATTATTATTATTATTATTATTATTGTAACTGGTGTCCCGATTTCATAAGCGAACAGTCAGTCACTTGATGATCTGGTACAGCTCTCCTGTCAGGTCACACAAAGTGAGACCAACTTTAGATTCATCAAGCAAATATTGAAAGAAGACTCGAACAAGTACAAAGGATAACTAATCCCTGATTTCAGAAGAACACACTACTCAGCAGTGCATCACAAATGTTGTGTAGCATAGGGAGACAGACGATAGAATGTGCTGTTGAATGAATCGGCCAATCGATTATGTGTAGTTTCGTTCAAAACTTTTGCGGCTAACCACATTTCCAATAGCTCGTACGCCAGCGGTTCGACATTCGACAGAAATTTGTTCGCGAAGAAGTGTGGTTGACGGAGCAGGTACGGTAACTCGGCCATTCCGAAAATACAAATCGAACGTTGCCAGTGCCCACCGACACACAGTTGATGCGAGGTAGCCCAAATTTTCGCCCTGGTCAACAAAAAAGCCACACGATCTTCGTGGATCCCGGTGAAAGCACCGGGGATGGGATAGATATCCGGGTTGTGATTCAAAGTGGCAAAAAATGTCTCGTCGGAAACAATTCTCTCGTTCTGTTTTTTCTCGTACTGTAGCAGTGATTGATAAAGCTCTTTGCTTTTTGGATTGTTCAATGCGTAATCGACAAATTCACGACGCACTGCGACGTGAACACTTCCCTTGTAACAAGTTGTCTGTAAAATTTGCGGAATGAACGGTGAATGCGAATGAATTGGTGAGTAAAACTAGTACGCGTTATCGTAAATTTGTAACCGAGAGGAATCTCATCAACACAGGATCATATATTTGGGCAGAATTGATATTGGTCATCAATTTCGCTTGTGTGACGGAAACTACAAATTGACAAATGTGTAAGCGATTAAATAAAATCTGTCAGTCGTCTGAAGTTGTAGGAATAACTTGGTCTAGTCAACAACCGAATGTACCACTCACTCTTCATCCAGGTTGATTTATCCACTCAAAAATCCATTACTTAATACAATCGCATAATCACCCAATATTTCACAATGAATTTCCCTGGAAGCATACGGTTCTTGTCACTTGTCAGGCGTGGGTATCCGGTCCGATTGTGTCACTTCATTCACATACTTGTACCAAGGAAATGTATTTGTGTCAGAATAACCTCATTTCCAACACCGGGTAATATTGGATGGACAGCCAATTCAAAGTCAGCTCATTGATCAACCAATACAATGATTCGATGTTTTATAGTTGGCCTATGTATGTATGTATGCATATACATACAGGTCTAATCGAAACTGAAGCAACGGGTCCCCGTGAAGAACTTTTGAGCTCGTATAGGCAACAACATTTATACTAAAGTAAATTATTTTCCAAATAATAATAATAATAAAAAAGCCTTGGTGAGTCGTTATAACAGTGATTTTGGTGATTCATTTATACTCAGCAGATGGACTGGTTCACAGTGTAGCGGATACTCCCATTTCCTCAGTGATGTTTGACCTAAACCGTGATAAGTTAAGAGGTAACTAAAGAGAATAAAACAGTTTTTACGTGAAACAAATCAACACTGATAATAATTAAGGTGTAAAGTTTGTGTCCACTTGTAGTCGATTGACCTGCCTTTGTTCTTTAGGACTTTTTCGAACATTCAAAGCTGTGCACAAAAATGACATTGATTTGAAGGTTGACTTCGATGTAAATGGCATTTCTGGAATTCAGTAAGTTAGCTGTCGAACAGATTATTATTATGAAACATTATTTAATGCAATTTCTCCGAGTTCTCAAAGAATTTCATTTCGTAATTCAATAGAGCTACCATAATGGATTATATGTCAGATAAAGTAATGCTTCATAACAACTAACCGAGATGGCAAGAGTTTATGAAATAATTCGGGATAATTCTTCAGTCGCTCTTTTTGGAATCTACTGCGTTTTCATACTTTATGAAGTTTTAATTTTCATGTTGAAGTTATTTAATCTTGGCAACCAAAGTCAGCCACGTTTAATTGACACTCATGCAGACTAGAAACTACGTAGATTGAAGTAGACAAGAAATAATTTATTCTAGCTACCTAAAGCATTAATATAGGTGATAAGTATAATGAAACTCAATTTGATCAGAAAGAACATAATTTACCGCCTCACAATCGGCCAGTAATGTAGAGTAGGTTTGCACATGGAACAGAGACATTTTTAGGCGGGTGATTATCTTTTAGTGTTTGGTATCCTTCAGGTGGTTTCCCGGTCGTAACATCGGCACATTATCACCCCAGAGGACTTATGTTCGAATCTCACCACAACCACCACCACCACCACCACCACCAGCGACCATCCAGCATTGTGTGTTTGTTTAAAGATATGGTTCGATATGAGTCGAATTTCACAATGCTACTTCTATTTGTCGTCTTAGAGAATTACCGAATCTCGAAACACCACAATGCTACAGAACTTGGCATGTGTAAAATGCATAATAAATGTGTACGACCTGAACCGTTACGTGTCACATATTGTCTCGGGCAAATGAATGTGTTCTTTTTTGTTCCAAACGACTTGTGAAGTGTGAAATAGCAGTCACAATGTATTCAACGGTTCGGATATAAAAATCGATTCAAGTATTCTGATTACTGAAATGAATGTGCATCATTTAAATTATACACGTTTGTCTGTGTGAATGTGTATTTATGTGAGTAGTAAGTAATACGTGGTCAGTTTTTGACAAAATAATAGTGTCCACTTTTTCCTTTCGATGTGAAGTGATTATCGGTGATACAATCAGATCAGTGACTGTCGAATACATTGGCTGCAACGAAAACAACTTTGGAAGTGGGTTTTTTTTACAAATTTGTGGTCGATCTAAATTAATTGTGATCCATCTATGAGCGGAATAACAGCTTATACACGTACAGTCACAAAAC